AGTACAGTATGAAGAGAGAGAACACTAACCTTGCTTGAGGTGACACCAAAAAGCTTCACAGAAAATGTCTGTCTGCAACCGCAATCTCACCTAGAGGAAACCACAACCACGTGTCAGAGCAGGGAAGATGGCCGCGGGTCATGTTCGTCACCCGATGCGGAGTTTGTGAACGGAAGCAAAATTTTGCAAATGCTGCTGTTCACAAACTGAATTGTTTGTGAACAGAAGCGTTCGTGAATCGAAGTATTACTTTACCTTCACTTCCCTGCACATATTCATCAACTTTATTCCACAAGATCAGGGCACCTTTACTCAGATTTATAACATCCTTCTCCTTTTTATTTTCTTTCTTTCTTTTATTCCGCCTATATTATTTTTATAAATAACTCAAGGCGGCAAATATGCTAATACTCCTTCCTCCTCCTATTTTCCCCATGACAACAACCCTGTGAGGTGAGTTGGGCTGAAAGAGTGTGATTGGCCCAAAGTCACCCAGCCGGCTTTCCTGCCTAAGAGGGGCCTAGAACTCACAGTCTCCTGGATTCTAGCCTGGAGCCTTAACCACTAGACCAAACTGTCTCTCTCAGTTTCACAGGCAAACAATATATTTTTCTTTCTTTCATTTCATTTGTTAATTCATGCTCTTTATCATTCACTCCTTTTACTTTCCAGATTGCAGTCTTCTATATGCTATATTCATCCCTAGATGGATCCATAGAAATTTATCTCCACTGTCCATCTTGGTTTTGATCAATCAAGGCTTTCACATAATGCTTTTTAGTAAGATAGAGAAGGTGTAGATTTGATTACCAGCCTTAATCATACCATTTGCAACATTCCCTATTAAAGACAGCACCACCAGTTTTGTCATATTTTGGCCAGTGTACTTGCTACAACAGCTCAATCAAAGTCCAGTTTTATTCCAAGCATGTTGTTCATGCTATTCTATACAAGCCAGGACTGTTAGCCTAGAGACTACTTTCCAAACTAATATCCTGCTGCCCACATCCCACCAACTCAGAAGTACATGCTATACTGACAGTCAGGATGTTAATATATCAAACCTTGGAAACTCCCAGTGAGCAAAACGTTGTAGCCTCCGGTAAGTTCTTGGCTTCCACATACCAGAGTCTTCTTCCTGTGATGTGTAATCAAATGTCTGACTCATATTACCTGAGACACTCAATCAGTTTGAGTCTTTACAGTACAATTGCAAATAGGGCTTCATGGAATGACCTTGTTCAGAGTTTTGTAATCTTTTAAGGACAGGTGCTCTCTTGCCAGCTCAGTGTTTGCTTTCTCTTTCCTGGGTAGGGAGGGGACCAGACGTCACCCTGAAGTGGTGGCGAAGAAAGTCAGTCTGCCTCTTAAAACCTCATATTCAGAAGAACCGGTTTGCAGCCACTTGCAAGATTCCCAACAGGCACATTCTTCGCTTGGCTGCATGCCCATCATGGAGGAAGGAAGGGGGATTCTTAAAGAGGGCTTTCTAGTTAAAAAGGTAAGACTCCCTCTCAGTGATCTCTAACTGGTAGACTTAATTACAACCTCTTGTTTAAAAAAATAATAATGTTCATTTGACTAGAAAGTGAGTTATAAATATTAGAAATAACTAAATGTTCCCTGGAAGAACTCCCATGGTCAGTAAGCAAGTGGTGAAGGAACTGAATTGGGATAACATACCTTGCAAAATTTCTGCTACTCTTTTCTATCCCTTCTATCCCATTGTTTAGAGTTGGACATTCAGTTTTTAGCCTTGCATACCATTTTTCAAATTCACTTTCTTAGGCTGCTTCCAGATGAATGACCCTTGGCCTGCTGCTTTTTAAGTGGATGTTCAGTTGACTTTTACATTTTTAGAAATGTAGCATTTTTCTTTAGATAATCCTGGTTTTTTGCTTTAATCCCCAATGGGCATGAGGTAGCAAGTATTCTAATGAGCTGTTTGAAGCTCAGTATTGCACCTTTTCAATAGGTGTGGCAGGAGGACAGCTGTGTTAATCTATGGCAGCAAAAAATCAGAAGGAGTCTGGTAACACCTTTTCCAGCTCACACATTTAATAAAAGGCATAAGCTTTTGTCAGCTGCAGCTCACTTCAACAAATGCAGAATGCGGCTAAACTGATACAGGATTTAAATTCAGATGATGGAATGGGGGGAGGGAAGGACAGGTTGGTTATGCAGATGCAGGTTACATAAGAGACAGCTCCCAAGCACCTTATCAATTAACAATTGTAATGTAGGAAAAATGCATCTTGTTTGTTGAGACCTTTTAAGTTAACTTGAAACCTTTTGATATATGTTGAGTTCAGCAACTCCTCACTTAAAGGTGCTGTTAAAGTCTCATTTTTTTTCTCAAAATGGTCACTTTGAAACCTGCAATAGAATGTCCTGGAAGTTTCTTTCAATAGTGGCATTTTATGATATTTGATCATAATTCCCTGGCATGGAAACAATTTTCCACTGGAACAGCATAATACTTTAGATTCCTGCATTATGAGATCTATGCAGATGGTGCCTAGCGCTACCAAATGAAAGGCACGGTAGATTAGAGCATTTTTAGTGCCCAGCAGCTTTTTGAGAAAAGAAAAAAGAAAATAAGAAAAGATTACAGCTGAAGGATGATCTGATCTGTGTCTGAACACCTTCCATCTCAAAATAAAATTCTGTCAATCGGGCAGGATTATACAATAGAAGCATTCTGTGAAATCACACGTGGTGGTATAATGTAAGAACTTAATTATTACTCAGAGCTTTATGGAAGGTCCAAATAATACTGTGATCCATTTATAAACAGGCTGGCTTTTCCCAGTGCTGCATGGTTTTCAGCCATAAACCATCCCGTGAGAATTAAAAGGACAATATGCTTCCAGCCAGAGGACTTCTGTTGTACAGTGTTGTTCTGTTGGTGGTTATACAATGAAGCACTTGTACCCCTGCACAACAGTGCAATTTTTCAGCAGGTATATGCATGCCTAAAGTACAGCGGGAGGAGCTGTTCCTGATGATGGTGGATGAGGTTCTGGAGGTGCCACTCCTTTCTTGCCTTGTTTATTTTGCATTTCTGCTTCCAAAGCAATTCCTTCCTCTCCCAAGGCTTCTTCAGCCCCTTTCACACTGCCCTTGAGGTTCTGAAAGAACAGCACAGCAAGGAATGAAGAAAGGAAAACCAATCAGATGTACTTCTCTCTTTACAAGGATGGGGTTTGGGATTTTTGTTTTGTTTGTTAAACAATGGATGTAACAATGAGGAAACATGGGCTAATTTCACAAATGATATTATCATCTGGACTGTTGGTGAAATTCCATTAATATGGCAGGGCAATTGCACCATCAATATTTTATCTGAAAGTATTCTCTAACAGATTAAAGACATCTCCACCTGATTTTTATTGAATTTGGGCTGGTTGCTTTTTTCTTTCAGAAAGCAGTACCTAAAAGTACCTTTTAGTTTGTAGAGGTAGTCCT